TACCCTCTATACCCATCTGCTTAGTTGGACAAAAAGCTCTTTACTGATTGTAACTCCAGCCAAACCCCAGGCCAAATTCCAAAAGTCCTCAAGTCTTCCCACTCTCCTTTACCCAAACCTCCTTGACTGTTGCTCCCCCTACCCCTCCTTACTCTCCTGAGCTTGCTCTTGGCTAGGCAGTACAACCCTGAGAGTAATGAATGTAATGGTCTTAACTCCCTAAGACAAGAATTAGGCCCAAGTAAAAGGCATTCAGGTGATGATGACTGAATTAGCAATCTTCTCTGATTGTCCCTTGGAGACTAAATTCAAACAACTCCCTACCCATAATGATATAATTCACAACAAGGCACTGTTGTTAATGTTGTTCCTTGCCAAACCACATGAATCATCTGGCATGCAGAGGAGGGTTGTGCATGCGTGCGTTAGATACGCAGACTTGGCAGGCTCTGGAATATACATATGAATGTTCAGACTATATTACATATTTCTTAATCTCTGTCAGAGAATCAGAAACAGACAGCCAGCATTTTGTTTGCTTCTGCCTGCCTGTTTTTTACTTAGAAATATCAGGGCATACACGTTTTCACTGAAGACATAGCATAGATGTTGCATAAATATTGCTCTCTGTCAGAGCCATGCAAATTACAAGAAGAAAATTCATTAGGATACTAGAAATGATTCCTAGTAATTTCAGGTGGGAACTTAGGTATTAAGAACTTGCTTACAATAATTCAGCAGCAATACAAGATGACTGGGAAATGGGAAGCCCCTTACAAACTTTTCCAGTGTTTTGACAAATGAAGAACTGAGGATTAACTGGCATAACAAGAAATTCACCTGCTATTCAGATATAGCCTAATATTTTTCAGGATAATCACATAACTGCAAGCCATGGCAGCTGAACAAGGGGACTAAAAATAACATTTTCAGGAGTGCTTTGTAATACTCTTTTCTCCATTCCAGTTCAAGTCATCTCATCTCTTCTTGTTTTTTACTATCTTGTGTGTAAAAATGGCCATTATAATGGTCATGATATTGAATGTTACTGTAATTATAGTTTTGGTCATAATTATACTTTAGACGTGAACTGCTGCAAGTTCTAAGACCTATGTTCTATAAATTATTGCAGCTTTTTGTTAGAAAACTTCTGGAAAAATAAACCTAATATTTGAAAGTCAGCAGCTCTTCTTAGGCACTGAATATTAAAATTCCACTGTAATATAAGAACAGTTCCAACTAAGGTGTAACTAAATTAGGAAACTGTTCGAAGTAGAAACTTATCATTAATACAGCGTAAGATGAATTAAAAATTCTACTGAAGAATAGTCTGATAATTCCTACATATCAAGTCAAACACACAAAAAATCATTTCTAGACAGTAAGAAATTGCTGCATCAAGAATATAAAGAGCATATAAAGAGCAAAATCGGGAAATCATCAAAATCCACAGCACTAGATCTAACTTTTTGTTAGTGTTAGATGATGGCAACTTCACGTACCATCAGACTGCTCTGACATTAGCCAAAGAAACATTGCAGCCCAGACTCAGAAGTTATCTATATACTTTAAACATATTTTACTGTGATTTTCTGCACAGTTTTAACAAAACAAAACCAAAAAAAAGTAATATTGGAACCTGAAAAATAGTTTCAACTGCCAGTGAAAATGCTGGGTTTTTAAAGGCAGAACAATTATCTTCTAAGGAAAAACTGGTTATGGGCTCTGACACATTGCATCACTGAAAATTTCTGAGTAAGACCAGTATATCAATACTCCTGGTTATTCCCACCACTGAAGAAGGATATGACTTCCGTATAACTGTGGCACAATAATTAAATCCACTACACATTCTGTTCTAGCTAAAGCAGCGTGAAATACTGATATGTAATTGTTAAAGTATCTGGCCTTGTATTTAATCTATTACAAATAATATATAAAAGCTCCCTAGAATCTATGGAAACCAAGAACATAGACAATGCCATCAGTGAAGAAAGATAATGATATAATTGAATATTCTGTTCTGAGAAAAATATATGCTCATAGTCCTTTTTTTGAATGCAATATAGGTACACATGGAAAGCTGAAAACTCATGAAGGCAGCCTCTTAACCGGAAGGGTCTCTAATCTCTAAAATGGAGCTTTCGGTAATTTTTGTGAGCTCTCTAAAGAGCCAAGTAACTTACCTGGCAAAACATGGTGGGACTTCCTAGTGATCTACCCTCATGGCTTGCTTTTCTCTGCAAACCAGGATGTGAGGAACTGCATAGCTCTGAACCACACGATAGATATTATAAGTGCTTTTCTAATTATCATTGTTTTCTAAAAAAATCTTTAAGTCTGTTTAAAATTCATCAGTAAAATCCCACCATTGTTAGGCTGACTATATTTATTGTTAAATACCTATGAATTAATTATATTTTATCAAATGTAATTATTAATTATGTATTTAATGAATCACAGAATCGTTGAGATTGAAAAGGACCTCTGGAAGTCACCTTGTCCAACCTCCCTGCTCATGCATAGGTTGCCCAGGACCATGTCCAGGCAGCTTTCAAATATCTACAAGGATGGAGACTCCCTAAACTCCTTTGTCAACATGTTCTGGTGCTTAGTCACTCTCACAGTAAAAAATTGTTTTATTATCCATAAAATAATTTTTTCCCTATTAATAATTTATTTTTTCCTTATGCATGTTTTTCATATGTATTCAGCCCATCACACATTCACACTTTACACCAACTTCTAATTCCTGTGCTTGAAGAGCTTAATTTGTTCATAAACCTTTTTAAACAACGAAAATTTTATGACATGAATGCCTATTCTCAACATGAACACGCTTATTTTTTCAAGATAATACCTAAGTACCAACAGAATTGTTTTCGCCTGCAGTCTGACATTTGGAGGTGCTCTGGTTGAACTGCCACCATACATATTCCTTTATTAGAGCAAGAGTGATTACTGGGGTTTTTTGCTTTTTTTTTTTAATCTTTGCACTCATAAACTTGCATACATATTGCTTGATCAAAGCAAATATGACTCTGCTGATATTCATTAGCATCTTCTATTCGCAATAAGTATTCTACTTGCATAATTTAACCTAAGCACTTGATATATTAACTGCTAGATTGAAGCAGAAAGTCTCCTTTACCATATTGTGTTTTGAATATGTGTATCTGTGTAAGAAATGGCTTTAAAAGCTGACTTTAGAAAAGTTTTGCATTTCTTTTATTTTTTACTAACACTTACTCATAAAAAAAGATGAACTGTACTAAACAATTATTTTTTTTTTTCACCTAGACATATTGCCTAGGAACACCTATATTTCTTTGGTTTTCATAATAAATTTTTATGTCATGTTTTCATTATTATTTTTCTTTTCCTTTACATTTTTTCCTAGCATTCGTTTCCTTTCTCTTTAAGCTTCATCTTCTTTTAAAAATACAATATCTGCTTACAGGATATGCCATTTACTTCTGTTCTGTAAGTATGAATATTTTTAATATGCTTTTCAAAATGTATAAGGAATGAAAAAGAGAGAAAAATTCTGCCTTTCCTATGTGTGTCTGTGTGTGTGGACACAGGCCTATATGTGATCCTCCCAACACTGGAATGTTTATGACAGCCTGTTTCTAGTATTAGATGAGAGTTATCAGAGGATTAGAGGTATTATTAAAGAAAAGCAACATACTATGAGTTCCTCATGCAATCCGGTATTAGTGTTAGAGACCATCTACATTTCAGAAATCGTGTTCTATAAACCTGATTTCCTGCTCTTCATTCTTCAGACATTACTCATGATTTTGTTTTTGGCCTTTCTTTATGCAAGTGATTTCTCTCTCACACAGTTCATTCCACAGTTACGCTACTAGTCTCTCATTCCTTCTTGATTTTGAAGTATTCTTATGCTGTTTTGATGTATTTTATTTAAAGCTGACAAATTGAAGTAAAGAGATGAGACAAAATTTCTGAATTTGTAAAATAGTGTGAACACCTGCTTTTTTAGGCAGGTATTTCTTATTTCTTACCTAACTGGCGGCCTCATTTATTAGTTATTCTGACTGTGCAGTATTCTCTAGAAGATGCACAATTTTATAATGAAATTTAACTACTTAGGTCTTGAAGCATTAATAGAAACTAAGATTTATCATTCTGCCTACAATTCAGACTTCCTAGTTGAAGCATTTAGATTCAGAAGAAGGGGGGAAAAAGAGAGTTTTGTAATCTCTTTTGGCCTGATTTCATGCTTTAGGGCTCTTCAGATGTTGCCAAGAAGAATGAAAGAAATTGATCACATCTATGCTAGCTTCAGATAGTCCATGGAGATATTACAGTTCTATTACTTGCTTTACAGAACCATGACAGAACTACAACAGCAGTTTCTCTTCTAACTACCAAAAGAAAAGCAGGATTTGTTAACTGAGAACTGTTGTGGAAGTCCAGGATTTGTGATAAAGCTGTGGCTGGTGGGCAAAATGTGAATGGCAAGCAGTGCTTTAAGATGGGAAACCCAGTATCCCAGAAACATTTGCATTATGCCATGGTTCAAAACTCCTAAATTCAGTGAGTGCTGTGAACATCGACCTCATGCAGACAATTTTTTTTTAATTAGTTAACATCAACACCATGCCTCTCTGACAGGCAGTTTCCTCATTTGCTGCTTGGTCTGAAATCTAGTGAGTACTGAGACAAGTCGTTGGCTCAAGCAGTTGCTTTACAAAACAACCTCTCCCAGCTGTCTCTGAGTTTCTGTTAATATATGTAATCTCTAGTTTGTGAAACTAGAACAGAGTTTACCTCACTATCGTTGGAAGATTTCTGGACTTGCAAATCAAAACAGCCCCTCTTAAATTGTCAAATCAACTCTATATTTTTTCAGGTGTTGTTACTGAAAAAGCTAAATTCTAAACATTACTCCAATAAACACAAGACAAGGCTGGTGTGCAATTCAACCCTTGATCATGGAAGAAGAGCCAAAAGTGCCAGAGAACGATCTGTACCTTGTGGCGTAACCTCACTAGGGGCTGATAGGGCCTAAAGTCGTATCCTTCCTTGGCTGGCCACCCGTCTGCTCCCAGTAAAATGCATCCAAGAAGTAAAACAGCTGACCACCACATAAACATCTTTACAGGTCTGTTCCTGTAAAAATAAAATATAAAAGTTTAGGGACAGGCTGCAATATTACTTTGGCACAACTTATATAATGTAAGTTTACAGTACTAATATCCCATTTATGGGTCTGAATAAATATAATAGAAATGGGGTAATACATCTGGCACAACAGCAAAGAGAAAAAAAAAAGGTAGTAATGTCACTATTCAATACTAATATGAGTGGTTCACTTAGAAAACAACAAGGAAAAGCATCAGAAAAGTTATAAAATTAATAGAAAAGTTGAAGTGAAAAATCCTCAAATGAAGAAAAAAAGATAATGAACAACATGTTCATCAACTATTTCTTTTAAATGCAATCTCCTATGATGCACTGTTCACAACCTGAAAGATATCACAATAAAATATCCTGCATTCACTTATTATTTTCTCTTCCTGACCAGCACTGAAGTCTAAAATGTAGCAAAGCACCATTTTTTCTGCAAATATTTTCGAGGAATTACTAAAATTACATACAGTCTATACGTTTTAATGCATATATCAACATTATGTTTCCAGTCTGTGAAGTTAAATCCCAAAATCTTTCCCTGAAATTCACTGCAATCAAATGCGAAATTCAGGATAGATGATTTGATTTTTTTTCTCTGGTTGGTTTGGTGTTTTGATTGTTTCTATTTCAAAATCCCACAAGTCACGTTAGAGATACCATGAACCAGCAGATCACTACTATGGTAAATGCACCAGGACCTACAACTTGTTGCAAACAAATCCAAAAAAGCAAATGAGATATTTAAGAACTGTAAGGTTATAGGATACTTCAGAAAACTAAGTAAATACTTTTGTAGTAGGACTAATGTAATTTAGTGAATGTTGTTCATCTTCAGAAACAGTTGTTTCAAATTATGTAATTGCTACAGTTTTGAAAGCACCTATTTCTTTATACTTGTCTAATTCTACTTTATTTTTAGCAAGAAAAATATTGTCATCCTAAACGAGACTTGCAACAATTCTTAAGAGATATTTCATGACATTGCAACATAGTGTCTTTTACTGTGAACTGTACTGTGTACAGGAAGGGGTTCAATAACTATTGTCATTTGCATAAATAATGGCACCTCATTGAAATTAAATCATAGATTTGAAACCAGGCCTTCCAGATCCTTCTTCTTGGAACTGCTTTCCAGCAGGTCCATCCCTAACCTGTATTGGTGCATAAGATTATTCCTTCCCAGGTGCAGGAGGGCCCTACACTTCTCCTTGTCTAACTTCATTAGGTTCTCATCTGCCCAGCACAGCCCTCTGGAGTGTCAACCACCTCTCCTAGTTTGGTATCGTCAGCAAAATTGCTGATTCTGTGACTCTAGCCTTATTTCTGTTCACAGTCTAAGTAATGGGATCCTGCATAAGCCTGCTACCCTTCTTTGGGGGCTACTCTACCAAAACTTGATAAAATCACTTAGCAGTTGCTGTCTGTTTCATTATCATTCTAGCTGAATTTTACCAATTTTCGTATTTTTAACTCAAACTTGACTGAGATCAATATACCATGCTACTTTGGCACCACTTGCATATTGTTCCACAAAAAGCAATCTCATTCTGGGTCTCTGTATTAATCAAATTTAAGATTTCTTCTCATTTATCATTGCTTATTCTAGTAGTTCCCACTTCAAGTATCTCTTTTTGGTACTCCAGCTACTATACATAGTAGATGTATCTAGGAGATCTCTTGTAGAATATATTAAGAAGGGAATTATTTGAAACAAAGATGACAGGCTCTACTGCAGAGAGATATTTTGCATAAATAACTTAAGGCTTGTTCTTTTATATCTGTTCAGTAACTGGATAATAAAGCAATGATAGAAAGTGACACACTGAATAAGTTTTCTTGGGTTCCCTTCATACTTCCACCAAAACAGAACTAGCAACCAGATGGTCCAGTGGACCTTTACTATGGGGTTATAGTAACAAATCTAGCTCATTGACTCAAAACACTGGAAAAGAGTATTTCAGAATTCAAATATGTGGTGGAATGGCATTTTCCTTCACTGCTTCTATTGTAGTTCTCAATATCACTGCTATTGGAACAGCAAGTCCATTACAAGAAAAAAACAAAAATTAAAAAAACCCACAACAGAATCTCGACTTTTAATCTTGAAGAAAACACCCCTTTATTTGTGTTTATTGACAAAAACAGTCTTTGAAAATAGTTTATTGTTAACATTCAAGGCCAGAATCAGATTAGTTTATCATTTATGCATGCTAAAACTAGCTATGAAACTGTCCCCTTTGTACACTTGTGGAATCTCTTTTCATCCAATAAAAATTAGGTTGGAGAACAGTAATTTCACAGAAGACATAAGGGCAACCACATTCTACCACCCACCCATCTAAACTGCATATACTTTAGTCTCATGTGGTGTTAAAGAATAGAGTCCTTATATTTTGAAAATTGTTTGACCATGAAAGGCTTCTCCTTTGTACTTGTCCAAAAAAGAGAAAATTATTACATGCTCAATTTCTGACTTCATTTTGTGTTACTTGGATGAACACTTAAAATGTAAATTAAAGAAGTAAGTTTTTTTGGAAAGGTGCCCCCTAATATCCCAAAGTACATAGGGTGTCTGCAGTTCTTATTTGCCTTTCAGAAATTAAAATATATATGTTTTTGCAAAGTACTATAAATTCTCTATTTAAATTACTGCACAACCTAGTGGTTTTTTATTTTACAAATACTACCAAAACCACAGTTCTCCTTAAAACAATGCTATTATTAAGTTTTTATTTTAAGAAAAAATACTATCTGCCTCAAAGACTTATATTGTTATTGTTATATTATATTGTATATTGTTAAAGAGTTGAATTACAGAGATGGAATAAAGAGGAGCTTTCAAAGCTTCATTACAACTTTAGATTTTGTTGTTGGGTGTAGGTGAACAGAAAGAAATAGAATAGAATTACAGAATTGTTTAGGTTGGAAAAGACCCTTAAAATCACCAAGTCAAATAGGTTACCTGGCACTGCCAAGTCTACCACTAAACTATTTCTCTCAGCACCACATCTACACATTTTAAATACCTTCAGGAATGGTGACTCAACCACTTCCCTGGGCAGCTTGTTCCAGTGCTGAGCAACTCATTCAGTGAATACCTTTTTCCTAATATCCAGTCTAAATCTCCCCTGGCTCAATCTGAGGCTGCTTCCTTTTGTCCTACTGCTTTTTACAAGGGAGAAGAGACCAACCCCCACCTCACTACAATCTCCTTTCAGGTAGTTGTAGAGAACATAAGGTCTCCCCTCATCTTTCTTTTCTCCAGATTAAAGAACCCAAGTTCCCTCAGCCACTCCTTATAAGACTTGTGCTCTAGACCTGTCACTAGCTTCATAGCCCTTCTTTGGACCATAAGGTATTAATTCTATATATAAATGATCCATAAAGTAACCCACGTCTTATTTCTTTCTGGAGGTAAAGCACAAGATTTTTGTACATTTATTTTAATTGTTATATTACCAAACAATAAATATTGCATTTTTAAAGGATGGAGTCTGGGTCAAAGTGAGGTATTTCTAAACTCAAATTTGCATTACCAATGTAGATCTTGTTTACTCATTTATTATATTTTGACAGAATTTGATGTTCCTGTAGTTGGATAACCTTTTTCTGTATTTTTAACTTAATTACATATTTGTAGAGCAGAAGCTTTTAGGTTCCTATTTTATGCCTACTTTTATTTTCACTTTAATTTTTTTGTTTATGTCAAGTAATGGTAGATATAACAAGTTTTAAGGTGTCAGAAACTTCTTCACAGATCATTAGTTTTGAATATATGTATGACTATCGTTATTTAGCATGCTCTTAAGTGCATAGAATATTATTACAAATATATCTTTGGATAACTGGAGATAAGAGGGCTTAAAAAGTTTAGAGTAAAACATATGGTTAATGGAGTTATTAAATATTATAATCAAAACTACTTTTCTTAGGAAAATAATTATTAATACAGATTTTAATAAATATTTTGAAACATGAAAGTTCAACAAATAAAGAGCTCCTGAGTACAAGCAACTTAGTCTTTTGTATTTTTATGCTATCACTGTTTGGAGAAGTGGGGGAAAAAAGTTCCATTTTAATCTCCTAGACAGTGTGTGTGTATATATGTATATACTCTTTTAAGAACTTTGGAAGGGGATGGGGAGGATGGTGTGAAAGCCTTAACCAAAGATGAGCGAGACATTAATCTAATTTTCTGTCTCTCAGGGGACTTGCCACAGACTGAAACTTAAGATCTGAGTTAAGCAGCTGCACAGCCCAAGAAGATGGGGGAGAAGTCAGCTTTGAAAGAAACATTCCAAGAAATAAGCGTTATGAATTATATTTGACAATTTCAGTGAAATGCTATTGAACAGATATTTTTCTTCTTGGGTTTGTCACATCACTGAGTCATCACCCAGAAATCAGTGCAGTGAATTTGCTTGTGCTGTGAAAGTTGCAAAATTAGACTGTCAGACAGGTACAACATTCCTGACCTTTACAATTTTTTTCCAATGATGTGTTTTTTCATGCAGCATACTTAAGAAAATATAAGCTCTACATATTACAATACAGCTCTTAGGTGCCTGTAAGGATTTCAAAAAAAGATAATCACTTATACATTAATATTATTATAAATAATATACACAATAAAAAAAAACATGGTAGATGAAGATTGGGTTAGGGATCAGTTGAGTAATCTGGACATCCATAAATCAATGGGTCCAGATGGAATGCACCCAAGGGTGCTGAGGGAGCTGGCGGAGGTCATTGCTAGGCCACTCTCCATCATCTTCAGTAAGTCATGGGCAACAGGTGAGGTGCCTGAGGACTGGAGGATAGCAAATGTCACTCCAGTCTACAAGAAGGGCAAGAAGGAGGACCCGGGTAACTATAGACCGGTCAGCCTCACCTCCATCCCTGGAAAGGTGATGGAACAACTTGTTCTTGTGACTATCTCCAGGCACATCAAGGACATGGGGGT